TCTTCTGAGGGAATCATCATTTGGGAATAGAGAGAAGGCATGACCGTCCGAAAGTTTTCATCCTCCTTAGCCCTCTTTGCGTCTTCGGCCACGTGTTCGACAGATTTTTCGAAAACCCTGTCCGAAACCAATGCGGATTTTAAGAAATTCCAAACAGGGGGGATTCTTTGTTCGCTTTTATACATCTTCTCCTCCTGTTCCAGATAGAATAGAAGTATATCTGGACTTTTTATTTCTTTCTCCTCCAAAACTTCAACCAGCTTTTTCCGGACATTGTCCATCCAAGCAAGATCATCGGGTGAATCCATTTATCTGTGAAAACGAGAAAAAGGAGAGTTGACGTTGGGACTTCCACAGAGTTCGGAGAAGGGTGGGCAGAGGGCAGAACGTATACATATATCATTGGAAACTAATCAATTTCAATTCCACCTTACCCAGTTTAGTCTCTCCAGCATTTTATTCTGCATTTGGGATTAATAATATTTTTCATCATGTTATCATGGTTTCGTGGTTGTCTAAAAAATGGAATGATCAGGGTGCGCAGATGGACATAAAATTTGTTAATACTAATTATTCATACTCAAAATTACTTAGTTCTACAGATGAAACTAGAAAAGGAATTGAGATGAAAGCTGGTCTGTGGAGAAAAATTTCCTCTCTGAATGTCTTAGATCACGCTCTCGTGTCTTTAGGTTTCAGTATGAGTGCAAGGTGCGTTCCCAATACACGATGGCTTCAGATGAAATTCGGCTCACCTTGAGTGCTTAATTAAGGCATGAGGTCTCTCGATTATGGAATGAATCCGTTGCGGTTAACATAGGCTGGAGAGTGGAACGGCCAGAGATCCGATTCCGGGCATAGTCTCGATGTTCTTGGTTTCCTAAGCCAAAAATGGAAATGAGAAATTCAAAAGACGACAATTTGATGCTTCGCCGTGCTGGATATCGGACTGACAAGAAAGGGGAAATCAAAACCGTCAGGCGTGAATCATGCCCATTACAGACGACAAGCTTCTTGTTTTGGTTCTGTTTCACCTGCATCCACATGCATATACGTTGACCTAATTGCAGTTAATCATTTTGGAAATCTTTCATGTCAGATCAGAATAAAAGAGAACAATCCTCCATCTATACCGACTTTAGAACTCAAGTAAAGATATAGTATACTCAAGTGCGATGCAGAAATCCAAATTAGACTCTGCGATGGATGACAACAATACGAACAGACAAAAACTGCACAAGGAAAATTAGATCACTCTGGCTGGTCAGATGATACAAGTAACCCTAGGAGTAACCCTGATGTATCGATTGTTGCCAAATAAGATGACTTTCCATAGGGACATGAGATGCGCAGGCATCTGTTTCGGCACCGATTGAGAAATGCCATGGGAAGAGTCTACATCAATAACACGGCTAAGGTACTCCTTGTGAACCTGTCGCATTTGACTTTCTTTTCATATTTAATTTAGAGAACCTATATGTATTGAAGGACGTGATTTCAACTCTATTTGGACCTATCCTTGTAATTCTAATCCAGTTGCACCTACTTTATAAGGATGAAGGTTAAACTTCTCCAGACCTTGTTTCTCAGGAGTTTCAGAAACGGCAACCTTGCCTCACGATTCCAAAGAGTTTACCTTGGTTAAATCACACAGAGCAGCCTCCAGAAATGGAGAGAATCCAGCCGCACTCTCCGGTCCGCGTCGGCTCCGTCACTGCGATCGGCGGGGACTGAGTCACCGTCCGAGGGCGGGGCCGGTTATCTGACTCCGATGCGCAGACTCGCTGGAGACGGTGAGACCCGTCAGGTCGCAGCAATGAGATAGCTCCTTCTCTACAAAATCTCATTTTGGGAAAAAAGCAACTTTCCATGGAATTTCATCGCTTCAAAATCAATGAAAGCTCGGACTATTGGGGACCCATATCGTTCTTTTGAGAGGATTCAATCAAGAAAAGAACGTGTTTCAGACTTTTTTCATGTGAGCAGGCAATTTATGAAATTTCAATGCTTGGATTTTGATGGAAAAAGAAAAATCAAAATGCTTTCCCATGTGGCACAGCAACGCTGAATAGACGTTGAATATACGTATATTTATCGACCTGGAAACTTTGAATAAACGTCGAGAGTATACGTGGACTCGACATGGAAATAGGAATATCAACTACGTAGAATAAACGTTGCAGAGATGCCCTTGTAGAGATCCGCAGGTAACAAAATCAAACCAAAAAATTCTCAAACACAAGGGATTTATTCCATTACCCATTTTAGACAATCACACCTCATATTAATATTTCCAGAACGTCAGCACGAACCACAACCAAAGAAACCACATTATCCTCTAAGAGCAGGATTCATCAGAGGATCACTCATATTCTCTAAACATCAGTCACTATGAACGGCAAAACTAAGAAAACAAGGTTATTCAATTATGACATCCTGAAATTCAGAGATTAATATTCCTGATGGGGGAATATTGAATGTGATATGCACAATATAATAAAGTGTACAGCTGTTACACTTCTACGATATTATGACCATATTGAGATCATTAAACTGTCAAGGAATCCAGTGAGCCTTTCTGGATTACTTAAATAAATAATGAAGAGCTGCAAGGATTCACTTTTAACTTCACTTTGCCCATTCAGCTCTTCGGATTATAACTTTTGCACCTCAATATCAAGACGAGAAACTGAAGTTATCTAATGCTAGATGAGTCAGCCAATAATTCATATATACTGGAGTATCCATAAGTAAGTGCTGGTTCCTTTCTCTGATTGGTCCTACAATGAGACATGCAGGTCTACCCTTGGTGTCTCTACTGTGGGGACTTAGCCATAAAGTGGGCAGTTTCCGAAGGATTTCGCCTAATTCAGCACAGAATAGGCTAGTGCAACGAAATGGATTGTTAGGGACATCTAATATATATAGACGATCGTGACTGACTGACTGACTGACGCTAATTCTAACCATGTTCTAGAAAGGTTTGAAATCTGAATCTTGGTACATAACTACCTATTGGGATGCTGCGTGCAGAAATATTCAGATTTTGGAAGTAAATCCCCTTGGGGCACATATTTCAAAGGGAAATGTTTTCAAATAATTTATTTTTGCATCAGATGAACATAGAAAGCTGAAACTTGGCATGAATGTGAATACTGAGACAAGAAGTTAAAGAAAAATGTTTTGTCTCGATACATTCCCTGGGGGGAATTTTTCGAGGGTCGATGTTTAAAAAAAACTCTCTTCGCGAATTGGACAGAAATGGAAAGTAGAAACTTGGCATTAGTATAAGTGACATTATGTTATTGAGTTGAGGGAAAATTCAGCTATCAGGGTGCATCCCCTCCGGGCATAGCTTTTGGGTTTTCGGCTTTTCCAAACATGTTTCTTCACCAAGGCATACGTATAAGGGAAAACATAAACGTATAACGAAATGGGCAAACGTATGAGGTTGAAACTTTGTGGGCATGTAGTTCTCTGAGGATTGATTTCGGAAAAAGAAAAATGGTTCTTTTCAGGTTAAAACGCCTCAGGGCACATATATTGAAAAATACGTATTTTTTCGAATTTTCTGATCCAGCAAAACGGAGGGCGCAAGAAAGCTTAAAATTGGCAAAGGAGAACCTGATGTACTGTATAGCTGAGTAAATAAAAAATGAAGTTTCTCAAGTTTTATTTCTCAAGTTTTATTTTTACCTAGAACAACAGTCTCAATTACGATCATAAATTTCGTAATTTCATTCCTCTGCCATTGCTTGTGTTGGATCCTAACTGATTCAATATTGGAAAGAAAAACACTTTCCAATTATAAACCGAATGTGCTACATCTATGGAAACTTCTTAAATTTTACTTTTAAACGTTCTCTAATCTTGCCCAATGCCACCTACTTCGATTTTCCTGCGTCAAAAAGCATTTCGTTGAGTCAGCACGATGGCGGAAGTGTATCCATTTCGCCGGCCCCGAACGGAGATGGGAAAGCCATTGAATGACCATACCGAGATCAACGTATATTAACTCCACAAGTGGCAATCGATCATCCTCCGTACGACCGCTGGATGTGCTTCACAATTTCCGTGGCACCAAAAGGGGAATTCGCGTGAATGTTCGTGACTCGGTGATGTGCAAGGGAAAGAGCAGCTTTTTCCATGGATACTCGAAACTCGCGTCTCCAAAACATGCTCATCCGTTCAAATCCATACGGGGATATGAAACAGAAGAGTGAAGAAAATGTGAGATCCCGCGATGAGTAGTTCCCTCACCATAGGAGGCAAGTCGTTTTGATCGATACATTCGTCGAGAAACGTAACCCAGCAGAAGGAGGCTCCAGGCAGATCTCGAAAAATGAACGGAGCAGGGTGCCCAGACTGAAGGCGATTCTCTGTCGTTTGAGAACCAATGCTGTCGAACCTCATATTCCGCGTGGATAGTATCATTTCTCAAAAAATAAAGAAACGTAGAGTTCATGTCGACTTTCCCAGTGAAGTGTCGCGACATCTCTGATAAGGAGCACGAACTACAGGTAACAGATGTGTAGAACAGATCGCCATCCCATTCCGGAATGGGATAAACAATTAAATACTCTTCCACGTTTGTCGTCGGATGGGATTGAAGAAAGGTAACGGGCGCTGTCAAAGCCCATTGAAGCATTTAAAACCTTTCCATGGATTTGCATGGATTCCCCAGAATGTCTGGAAAATCGGGACGTGGGAATCAAGAGGATGCGTATTCATATCGCCTTTAAAATGGTGGAGTGCGGTAAGTACTATTCTACATCGTTCGTGAAGACGAAACGAAAGAGCTGCAACTCATACCTCGAGGGTAGTTAACAAACCGAAGAAGAACAGCCTTGGGACTCTCGTGAATGCCGCCTTTCCTTACTTCCACCCCTCAGGGTTTAATCAAATAGGAATATTATGCATAAGGCGGTACCGGCGAGTCGACATTGAAAAGCATTTTCTTCAATCTCATTGGAACTGATTTTTATCTTCAATCAAGTTAATCACGGTTCAGGATCGAATTCCAAGACGCGATTGAAGGTGTGGAATGAGATTCCGTCGTGGGACTTCTTGCAGGTCCAGCCGAAGGCCCACCCACCGACAGTGGCCCAAGTGGATGGGACCATCGCTGCGCAGTCGTGGTTGGGCAATCGGGTTGGAAAACCTGGGGCCCAGTTGTCGTATGTCAGTTGCGATCCGTCTTCAACCCAATTCCACTCGCCCGTGGCAGCGTTGCGGCGCAAACCAATCCAGAATTTTGTCGGGAAGGGTTCATACTTGTTGAGGAAGATGCGCATGACTTCTTCCCTCTTTCCTTGGTCTTGGATCTTGATCAAATTTCCACCTTTAACGCTACAAATGCTTATGGCCGTGTCAAACGTACTCCCAATGGGCACGATGTCGATTGGCGGGATGCCGTCATACTCGCAGATGAAAGGACGCCCTTCGTCACATGGGAAGTTCTTCCATTGATCGACGGTGAGCACGACCCAAGAGAGAGAATCCAGTATTGCACCCGCATCATTGAAATTGTGGTAATCTGAAAGAGTACCGTCGAGAAATTCGAAGTCGAATGGGTCACCCGGGAAATCCCTGCCCGTCCTAGCCCCGATGTAATTGAAGGACGTTTGCACTTGCGACGCGATGAATTCGTCCTCCTCTTGCGTATGGACGCTGGTGACATCCGCTCCCATTGCCTGGCATGCCTCCTGAGCATCGGATAGCTGGAATTCTTTTCGTTCGGTGTAGTCCGAGTAGTAGCAACTATCTTGGAACCGTTTCCATTCAACGTCGCATCCGTTGTCTATTCGGTAGGTAATGTTGAACCTGCGGTCCATTGTAGGCGAGGGGATATCATCGCTCACGAAGATGATAGTGATGCTTGGATCGGAGATTTCCAAAGTGGACGGAGCATTTTCCCCGCAGAAGGTAGCCCAGTCGAAATTTGAGATACTGACGTGCTCAGAGAGACAGTCATCGCTCTCGTCGAGGAAAAACTCCTCGAAAGTTAGGATGATCGGGTACTCCGTCGGGGGTTGGGGCTGAGGAGATATAGAACATGGTTGGTTTAACTCGAGCAAGTATCGTAAAAAAAAAAAACAGAAAAAGCTACAACTATTGCAAACGATGTTAGGATCTCTTCGTTCAGCAGAATGAGAAGCACCAGAAAAGGCTTTGTAGCACTCAAATTGGCAAAAATAGCGTCGAGAGAGTCGAGACGGGGGACAGGATGACACCTGAGAACACGAAACTCATGCAACAGAGATCCTCAAAATAATTTGATCACTGATGAGTCTCTCAGCAATCAAGCAATTCGTTTACTTGTCATTTCGTGAGGAGCTAGCTTTGACTACAACGTACGGGAGAAAAACTGGATCGTCCTTACGAGCAAATCAACAATAGAACAATAAATTGAAGTTGTATTGTATCAATCCGTGACGTTCGTTCAGTGAAGAATGAATAGCAAATTTTGTAAATGAGAATAAAAAATGCAAATCAAGTTTGCCTGAAACACGTTTGCGAAAAAATCGAGACCAGTATCAAATCCAAAGCACTAGCGACGAATACAGAAGTCCGGGGATGTGAAGAGCACAAGAATGAATTCAAGATATTCTCGAAGATGTGCTTCCATCGCGCATTTGAGAGAAACAGGGAGAACTAATCCCAGATCTTAAAAGGAAACGGAAAGTAATACCAAGATGGTCCAGGTGCATAAGGAATTATTTGGGTATTCTTTTGGGTAATCGGGGGATACGATGGAACCCGAGTCACCCGTCAGTGTCTCCCCGCACTGCTGCATCCCTTCTCCAAAAACACCCGTAAGGAAAGACCACAGAATCACTAAGGACTTCATGGTAGTGAAGGCTCCTGGCGTCGAAAATTTTCGACGTAGCTCTGAATCTCTCTCGTCTGGTATCGCATTGGCCAGCTGCTCTTTCTCCCAGGGCGTTATTGAGTGATAAGGTGAGACTTTACACCTCTGTTGGCCCATTTTGCTGTACTTGAGTCTACTGTGTACTGTCCAGGGTGGCTACAGGTATTTGACACGTCGAGAATTCAAATCTAATATATAGTACAGACCTTTGCATTATTTTTACCATAAAAATTATTTAAAAAACTATAGCTCTCTTTTTTAATATTTTAAGCCCGAGATGAAAAGGCTTTTGATATCAGGGACAGATATTTCTCTGTCACATAAAACGGAATAAGGGAAATCAATTGTTAATGTACGCAAAGGAAAAAATGAACCTTTGCTTTTATAAAAACCGCAGGAAATTTGACATATTGTCGGCTGAGACATGGGCAAAATAATTCGACATTAAGAAAGTTCAATCACACTTCAATGCAATTAGTTGCCAAAAGGTGGATCCACCGTTACTCGAGCATGCTAATGACCCGTGACTCTACGAGGCTTGTATGAAAAGTCATGCGTGTTCCGCAATAAAAATTTGCATATTGCGCGCACACGAAAAATTCCTACAAATTCTGAAAGCCCCGTCAAATAGGAACACAACGATATGCGGAATGTGTTCCAAACCCTCCCGAATCACCGGAAAGAAATTGTTACACAGAGGCATGTAAATCACATTTCCCGATTTCCAAGAAATTCTTTTTATTTTCTTAAAAAAAAAATCGGACATGTGAAAGCCGTCTCAATCGCCCTCCAAGTACTCGCCGTCGGCGGCCACACACTTTGACCATCTAGTCGGCCAGGACTCAACTATCGCTATCCGGAACGCGCTGACCGGAATCGACTTCAGCACCTGTTCGACGTTGCGCTTGATTTCCTCCACGCTGTCGAATCGCTTGCCTTTCAAATGTCTCTTGAGGAGGGTGAACAACCAGAAATCCGCAGGAGCCAGATCAGGAGAGTTGGACGCCTGGCGCCACACCTCGGTACCCATCTTCGCCAACCACTGCTTCACGACGTTTGCTGAATGTGCGGGGGCATTGTCGTGGTGGAGAATCCAGCCGTTGCCTCCCCAATTCTGCGTTTTGCCCACCCTCACTCTGTTCAAGCGAACCTTTTCTCTGAGACGGCGGAGCACGCCCAGGTAAACAGACTTGTTCACCGTCGCTCCCGATGGCAGAAATTCGNNNATTGAAATTGTGGTAATCTGAAAGAGTACCGTCGAGAAATTCGAAGTCGAATGGGTCACCCGGGAAATCCCTGCCCGTCCTAGCCCCGATGTAATTGAAGGACGTTTGCACTTGCGACGCGATGAATTCGTCCTCCTCTTGCGTATGGACGCTGGTGACATCCGCTCCCATTGCCTGGCATGCCTCCTGAGCATCGGATAGCTGGAATTCTTTTCGTTCGGTGTAGTCCGAGTAGTAGCAACTATCTTGGAACCGTTTCCATTCAACGTCGCATCCGTTGTCTATTCGGTAGGTAATGTTGAACCTGCGGTCCATTGTAGGCGAGGGGATATCATCGCTCACGAAGATGATAGTGATGCTTGGATCGGAGATTTCCAAAGTGGACGGAGCATTTTCCCCGCAGAAGGTAGCCCAGTCGAAATTTGAGATACTGACGTGCTCAGAGAGACAGTCATCGCTCTCGTCGAGGAAAAACTCCTCGAAAGTTAGGATGATCGGGTACTCCGTCGGGGGTTGGGGCTGAGGAGATATAGAACATGGTTGGTTTAACTCGAGCAAGTATCGTAAAAAAAAAAAACAGAAAAAGCTACAACTATTGCAAACGATGTTAGGATCTCTTCGTTCAGCAGAATGAGAAGCACCAGAAAAGGCTTTGTAGCACTCAAATTGGCAAAAATAGCGTCGAGAGAGTCGAGACGGGGGACAGGATGACACCTGAGAACACGAAACTCATGCAACAGAGATCCTCAAAATAATTTGATCACTGATGAGTCTCTCAGCAATCAAGCAATTCGTTTACTTGTCATTTCGTGAGGAGCTAGCTTTGACTACAACGTACGGGAGAAAAACTGGATCGTCCTTACGAGCAAATCAACAATAGAACAATAAATTGAAGTTGTATTGTATCAATCCGTGACGTTCGTTCAGTGAAGAATGAATAGCAAATTTTGTAAATGAGAATAAAAAATGCAAATCAAGTTTGCCTGAAACACGTTTGCGAAAAAATCGAGACCAGTATCAAATCCAAAGCACTAGCGACGAATACAGAAGTCCGGGGATGTGAAGAGCACAAGAATGAATTCAAGATATTCTCGAAGATGTGTTTTCCATCGCGCATTTGAGAGAAACAAGGAGAACTAATCGCAGATCTTAAAGGGAAACGGAAAGTAATACCAAGATGGTCCAGGTGCATGAGGAATTAATTGGGTATTCTTGGGGGCAATTGGGGGATACGATGGAACCCGAGTCACCCGTCAGTGTCTCCCCGCACTGCTGCATCCCTTCTCCAAAAACACCAGCAAGGAAAGACCACAGAATCACTAGGGACTTCATGGTAGTGAAGGCTCCTGGCGTCGAAAATTTTCGAAGTAGCTCTGAATCTCTCTCGTCTGGTATCGCATTGGCCAGCTGCTCTTTCTCCCAGGGCTTTATTGAGTGATAAGGTGAGACTTAACACCTCTGTTGGCCCATTTTGCTGTACTTGAGTCTACTGTGTACTGTCCAGGGTGGCTACAGGTATTTGACACGTCGAGAATTCAAATCTAATATATAGTACAGACCTTTGCATTATTTTTACCATAAAAATTATTTAAAAAACTATAGCTCTCTTTTTTAATATTTTAAGCCCGAGATGATATAGGAGGCTTTTGATATCAGGGACAGATATTTCTCTGTCACATAAAACGGAATAAGGGAAATCAATTGTTAATGTACGCAAAGGAAAAAATGAACCTTTGCTTTTATAAAAACCGCAGGAAATTTGACATATTGTCGGCTGAGACATGGGCAAAATAATTCGACATTAAGAAAGTTCAATCACACTTCAATGCAATTAGTTGCCAAAAGGTGGATCCACCGTTACTCGAGCATGCTAATGACCCGTGACTCTACGAGGCTTGTATGAAAAGTCATGCGTGTTCCGCAATAAAAATTTGCATATTGCGCGCACACGAAAAATTCCTACAAATTCTGAAAGCCCCGTCAAATAGGAACACAACGATATGCGGAATGTGTT